AGAGATAGATACCCTAGAAAGAAGAAAAAAAGAGATAGATACCCTAGAAAGAAGAAAAAAAGAGATAGATACCCTAGAAAGAAGAAAAAAAGAGATAGATACCCTAGAAAGAAGAAAAATACCCTAGAAAGAAGAAAAAAAAAGTACTCCTAGAGATAGATATACCTTTCCCTGCAGAGATAGACAATCGTGATTGATCCCACAATCTCCCAAAGAAGGAATGAAGACTTATGCTCCTCACGGTTTTGATAAGCTATGGAGCGATCAGTGAATTCCATCCCACCGGGCCTCGCATCAATTCAGGCAATTGTCAATTCCCATTCCCTAAGGGTTCAGTCCTGAGGGCCTAGAAATAGCAATATCATTTGTCTCTAGGGTAAAGATATCCCACAGGTGAACAACCCCTAGAGATAGTTATACCCTCCCCCCCCTGTAGAGAGATCATTCAGAGTGTGCATGATTTCATTCATCGAGCGGTGAGAGAGAGGTTTTATGACTTTCGTGTGGGTTTTTCTTTCATGTACATTTCATAAAAAAGACAGGCGTCATCCTAAGAGAACAAATCAGCGATGAGAAACTAATGACGGAAATTGTACTCCAGACTCAGTCAGCCAATCATCACAGGGCAACATCACCGATCGCGCACCCTGCCACACCCACCCACCACGCCCTCCGGCCGTCCTCCTCTCTCTTCTCCCCACCTAAACACGCCGCCGCCTCCCCCCCACCCACTTGCCAAACGACACGTAAAAAGAGAAAATGAAAAGTTATAAAGAAGAAGAAAAGGCAAAATAAAAAAGGAATGACAGCAGAAGAATCCCCATTCATTCATCAAATTGGGGCGCATTTTTGCTGTGGATTTACGCCGACGATGCCTCCGCAGGCCTCACTAAGACCCCTTGCCCTTGGGAGGCACTCTCTTTCACCTCTGTGGACTCGTCTGCCCCCTTTATGCGGATTTTGTACTTCATCTGAAACTCAGCCAGCTCCTTCCTCTTCTTTTGCAACTGCTCCCCTAGTTTGCCTATTACCTCCTTCAGCCCTTCGCAGTTCCTCGTCACTGCAGGCAGGACCTCCGCCACCGTGCGCTCGACCAGAACTCCTCCAATCAAGCGATAACATCTCCTCGACGGCTCCATCGGCTCGATGGCGCCGATCACGAGATTGTGCTCATTCATCTCCATCTCCAGCTCAGTTATTTTCTGCCATAGCTGATTCACTTCATTTCGCAAAGCGCCGAACCGGGAGATCACCGCTTGTTCGTTTACCAGAGGTTGTTGTTCCTCTGCCATGGTTTCCAGATTAAAATTTCTCAAAGTTTCAAGAAGGAGAACAAAAAAAAAAAAAAGGTTTCTGAGTCTTGTACAATATTAAAAAAGCCAAAAAGTTCTCAAAGCAGCCGCGGCGTATGTGACGTACGCACAGGAGGGGCCACACCGCCGAGCACAGAACAAACCAAGACACAGCACACACACACGGGGCACACGCAGAAGGAATCGACTGCACCGTACGGAAATCGACTGCACCGTACGGAAATCGACTGAGCCGTACGGAAATCGACTGCGCCGGGTGGAAATCGACGAGACCGCACTCACAGAGACACACACAGAGAGCACACACAGAATGAATCGACTGCGTCGTACGGAAATCGACTGAGTCGTACGGAAATCGGCTGAGCTGTACGGAAATCAACTGCGCCGTACAGAAATCAAAATCAACTGACCCGTACGGAAATCGACTGAGCCGTATGGAAATCGATTACCTGTACTGGAATCAAATGAGCTGTGCAGAAATGGAATCCGCAGGCTCACCCTACCGGTCGCTTGGCCGGTTGAGCGAGTCCTTAAGCCAAGAAGAACAAGAATAATCCCCGCCGCGGCCACTGCTGCTCATTCTTCATTCGTACCAGAGAGATCATGCAGCTATCTGTGTGTCTTGATTGCAATTTCCGAAGGACCGAAGTAACCGCAAGCAAGCAAGCAAGCCCTCTCACTTCAACGACCGAAGAGGAACCAGCACCGACCACCACCGACGAGTCGCCAAACCTGTTAAAAGGTTCAAAAAAAAATCCAGGACAACACACCACAGACCACAGATGATGACGATCTATAATTAGCACAACAATCAGGGAATGGAAATGGAAACGGCAAAAAAAAATTGGAGTAAAGACTCAGGAACACAGATGATGGATGATCTATAATTAGCACAAGCCCCAGGGCATGGAACTGGAAATGGAAATGGCAAAATATAGGGCCTCGATCCACTAATTAGTCAACATTCAACATGCATTTGGACGCATTCTGGACCAGATGCATTCGGACGAGTCCGACATGTGAATGTATCTGGACGATTATGAGCTCCAGATACATTGTGTAGTGGAGCCAGGCCCATAGTAAGATGCCGGATCCCAGAGGATGATCTATGATTAGCACAGCATCACAAAGGGCATGGAAATGGAAATGGCAAAACATAGGGCCTCCGTCCACTACTCAACATTCTACATGCATTTGGACACATCCTAGACCAGGTGCATACGGACGAGTCCGACATTTTGAATGTATCGGGACGATTATGAGCTCCAGATACATATCAAGCGTATTGTGTACTGGAGCCAGGCCCATAGTAAGATGCCAGATCACAGATGATGATCTATAATTAGCACAACATCAAGGGCATGCAAATGGAAACGGCAAAACATAGGGCCTCCGTCCACTACTCAACATTCTACATGCACTTGGACGCATTCTGGACCACGTGCATTTGGACGAGTCCAACATTTTGAATGTATCGGGACGATTATGAGCTCCAGATACGGGCATGCAAATGGAAATGCCAGATATGGGCTATAGATTGAAGTGAACAGAGGATCTGGCAACCAGTGCATAAGGTTGAAGAGGCCAGTCAGTGAATCTCCTGCAATACTTGTAATTTTTTAATTTTTTTTGTAATACTTGGAAATTTCAAATTTAGAGAAAGAAACGGGGAGCCGGGGGGGGGGGGGGGGGAGTGGAGGAGGAGGAAACGACAACCAATCCACAGAGGTGTTCTTTGCGAAAGCTATACACTACTTGTCCTTCTTCAATGGGCCAATAATCCACATTGGTCAGAAAATCTTCTGTAGATAAAAATAGCTTTTTATGATTTTTATCCCTATTTTTACGGTGCGCCGTCTCACAACCAATTTCGATTCGATGGGCTTTCAATTCAATCAAAGCCTACCGCTGAGCTGCGTACCAGTCCCCATCATACTGAAGGTATACAAACCCTGTTCCAGTCCAAATACAGCCATGAATGAACCTAAGGCATTCTCTTCGGGCGAAGAAGGTAGTCACCTTAGTTGTTCGTCGACATGCCTTTCACAAATTGACTTCATTAATAAAGTAAAATAATAAATAGATAAACAGTACATCAGCCAACCGTCTAGCTGCGTTTTGCTGTGCAGTCGGTGCTACATCAAACGCGAAAAGTATCATGCAGTTTCATTTCCTCAAAGGTATTTCACAGACGCCTCCCTCCCCCCCATCTCTCTCTCTCTCTCCTGTCTCTTATACACATCTAGATGTGTATAAGAGACATAGAGGAAGTCGAGGAGTTGCTTTCGTATTTAATTTTCTGTTAATTTCTGATCCACTGCTGTTTTTTTTTTTTTTTGGAGGGGGGGGCCGGGGGGGGCCTGCTAATTTTTGTTTTTAAGGGGGACAAACAGACAGATCGCGGGAGGGAGAAGAAGACAGAGGGAAGTGTGTTATAGGGGGGGGGAAGAAGATTAGGGTGCAGAGAATAATAAGTTCGTTTAGGGTACAGAGACGAAGTTTCTAAGGGGACAGAGAAGGATGTTCTCAAGAGATTAATACATTAATCCTCTAAGATTTGAAAAACAATACTAACAATAATAATAATAATAATAACAATATAATAATAATAGGATGGAGAGAAAGAGAGAGAAAGAGAAAGAAAGAGAGAAAGAGAGAGAGAGAAAGAGAGAGAGAGAAAGAGAGAGAGAGAAAGAGAGAAAGAGAGAAAGAGAAAGAGAGAAAGAGAGAAAGAGAAAGAGAGAGAGAGA